ACCTCCTTGGTTATATACATTCCCAGGCATTTTGTGTTATTTTTTGCAGCTGTTGTAAAAGGGGTTAATTTGATTCTCAGCCTGGTTGCTGCTGGCATGTAGCAGTGCTACTCATTTGTGTGCATTGATTTTGTAACCTGAGACTTTCCCGAACTCATGTGTCAAACTTAGGAGTCTTTTAGAGGAGTCTTTAGGGTTTTCTAGGTATTTGATCCTATCATGGGCAAACAGAAACACCGTGACTTCCTCTTTTTCGATTTGGATGCCCTTTCTTTCTTTCTCTTGCCTGATTGCTCTGGCTAGGACTTCCCTTGTCCACAGTTTCTGCCTCAGCAGAAAGAGGATCAGGACGCCGGCCGTGCCCAGCACAATAGGGCAATTATGAGGCTTGGGGGACGCCCTGAATGTACAGAAGGCAGAGCTGGCTGCAGCCCAGGCTCCTGAGTGTGGAGAAGTGGAGGAGGCTGTGGCCCTGACTCAGGGGCCAGGACCCTCCTGCCTCCCTGGCAGCTTCCCAAACTCTGAAGTGGTTAGAGCGGGGCCTGGCCACTGGCTGCTGGGCCGCATGGGCAGGAGGGGCCAGGAAGGTCTTTCTCTTTATCTTCACTGCTTCTTTCCCCAGGAAACCTGTGGTATCGCCAGGGGATCACGCCCAGCTACCCGCAGGGCTCCAGCTGGGAGCACGTGTCCAACAACGTGTGTCGAGTGTCCGTGGGGCCTCTGGACCAGGTGGGGGTGCTCAGGGGGTATCGGGCGCTTGGGGTGCTCTGGTTCCCTCTCTGGTCTCCCCCATCCCATGTCCAGCCGTCCCACGGCAGCTGGGGCTGAGAGCTTCATGGGGTGTGTGCTCCAGGTCTGGGTGATCGCCAACAAAGTGCAGGGCAGCCACAGCCTGAGCCGGGGGACGGTGTGTCATCGCACGGGCGTGCAGCCCCACGAGCCCAAGGGCCATGGCTGGGACTACGGCATCGGGGTGAGCGGGGGCCATGGTCTGGGGCTGTGTGGTCACCTTGTGTCCTGTGGGACCGTCCCCTGGGACCCGGGATCTGGGTTGGAGGGACGCCCCCAGGCAGAGCCCCTCCAGGATCCTGGAGTCCCCGAGTCCCCTGGTGACACAGCTCTCTCCTTCCAGGGAGGCTGGGACCATATCTCTGTCCGGGCCAATGCCACCAGGGCCCCCCGGAGCTCGTCCCAGGAGCAGGAGCCAAGTGCCCCGCCAGAGGCCCATGGCCCCGTCTGCTGCTGAGGCGCCCCCACGCACCTAGATGCAGTGATGGTGCCCGGTTTGGGCGATCAAGACTGAGCCATTCTTGTGCTGAAGTGTGTACTGTGAGAGCGATGTCGCCCTGGTGGACTCTGGAGGGGACCTGGCCCCAAGGCTGCGGCCACTTCACAGGCACTGGTTGAGACGGCCCCGAAATGTGAAGCTCCACGGACACTCCTACACATGTCCCCGTCTGCGAGGAGCCCTGGTGGTGTGGGGCATGGGGTGGGAGGGGCCTCCCACCCTTCCCTTCCCCTCTCCCTCCTGCCTTTCCAGGACTAGAAACCAGAATCTGGAGCCCTCCAGGAACACCGGGCCTGGGGCAGCAGAGCCCAGGATGGAGCCCGCCTGAGCCGGCATCTCAGACAGCACCCGGGCCCCGCCACCCCTGACCAAGCGAGACGGCTGTGGGGCTCAGGGCCTCTTTACCACATGCAGTGACCATTTCTCAGAGCAGGACTTGCAAAGAGGCTTTCATTTCAAAAGTGAAGGAAGGAGGCCGGGCGCCGTGGCTCACGCCTGTAATCCCAGCACTTTAGGAGGCTGAGGTGTGCAGATCACCTGAGGTCAAGAGTTTTGAGACCAGACTGGCCAACATGGTGAAACCCCATCTCTACTAAAAATACAAAAAAAAATTAGCTGGGCATGGTGGCGGGCACCTGTAATCGCAGCTACTTGGAAGGCTGAGGCAGGAGAATCGTTTGAACCCAGGAGGCGGAGGCTGCAGGGAGCTGAAATCGTGCCGACGCCCTCCAGCCTGGGCGACAGAGTGAGACTCCATCTCAAAAAAAGAAAAAAATGTGAAAGAAGGAGACAGCAGTTTGGAAATAACACTGGAGTAGATGGGATTGGATGGGATGTTCTCTTCCCTGAGGGGGCCGGGGTACCAGACAGGAGGCTGGGAGAGGATGAGAGGCTGCCCCGTGGCTGGAGGCAGTGTCCGTGTGCGCAGTCACCGTCACCAACCCCCTTTCGGCCCCTTCCCCAGACGTGCTGGCGGACAGGGGCTTCTTGGATCAGATCATGTTGTAGGGGGTGCAGACTGCAGGCTTCTGCGGGGAGCAGGACTGTGTCCGTCAGCGGTGGCCATGGGGTGTGCACACGGACCCTCAGCCCATCCTGCACATGGAGCAGGGCGCACAGTCACGCTCCATCCTGTGGCGAGAGCCCGGCCCGGCCAGGCGAGGCGGAAAGCGTCGGCCAAGTGGCCCCGACCCATCCAGCGGCCTCTCAGCTGCTTTTTATCCCTCTGTGCCCCATTTGGGGGGTTTGCTTCCTCCACCTGGACACTTTGCCCGGGAGGTCATCAGAGCCCAACCCCAGGCTCTGCCCGGTTGGAGAGGGGATGACTGTGCCATCACCTGACCTTCCTAGGGTCCTGGTCTCACTGTCAGCAGGGGGTCCGTTGCGTTTGTACAATATGGGGTTTGTCACCCAAAAGCTGATGCTGAGAAAGGTCTCCCTGGGGCCCCGCCCGCCGGCATCTGAGAGACCTGGTGTTCCGGTGTTTCTGGAAGTGGGTCGCAGTGCCGCCGGCTGGGAAGCTCTCAGATCAATCACGGGAAGGTCCTGACGGTGGTGGCCACCTGGAACCACCCTGTCCTGTCTGTTTACATTTCTCTATCAGGTTTTCTTTGGGCATTACGGTTTGTTCCCCTACAACAGTGACCTGTGCATTCTGCTGTGGCCTGCTGTGTCTGCACGTGGCTCTCAGTGAGGTACGGGGAGGGCGTCACCCTGCAGAACGGCAGAGCGACGCGTCCTCTCGCTGCTGAGCACCAACTGTTTACCTGCCCAGCATCACTTCCTCAGATGCTTTACTCAATAAACATTTCCCCTGGAGTGTCCATGCCCTGGTGTTTTTATCAATAACATTGATTGATTAAAACGTGTGGTTCCCCACGTGCCTGAAGCAGACATTGCCGTGAAATCTTTTATTTTTTGTTTTATGACACAGCATCAATTTCATGAATACTTTGAGAGGGCCATTAGAAAAAATAAGAGCCAGTTTGGGTCATTTGAGAATCATTTTCAGCACAATTACAGCGGGGGCACGGGCCGTGCGGCTCCGGCTGGGTTTTCCCAGACGCAACAATCGCGGTGCTGGCTTCTCCGCGGGTGGGGATGGGGATCGCGCCTCCGGAGCTCTCAGGGCGTCTGTCTGCCGAAGGGTGGGTGCGTCCACAGCCCCGGGGGACGGCGCGTGGGTCTCTCACCCACTTATGCGGGGACTTGAGGGAACTCAGCCCGATGGCCGAGGCAGGGGCTCCCCACAGGACAAAAGGATCCAGCCTGGCCTTAGGGTCCAAGAGGAGGGCCAAGGGAGTGGGCCTGGCCCCTGTCCCCTCTCCTCCTCGAAACACTGGACACCCCGAAGCGAGACTATGGCTACTGAGTATCCTGTGTGATGTGGCCACAGGGTGTCCCCTCTGGCCTCAGGGGAAGAAGGACTGGCTGCTCAGCCCAGGTCACCCTTTAGGAAGCAGAGGAGGTGTGGGTGCCAGTTCAGGGCAGAAAGAGCCACTGAGGCCATTGTCCTGAAGGCGGTGACCCCCAGGCCCTCCTGCTGCCCCCCGGGAAGCCCTGGGCTGTGCTAGACACCGGGTCCAGTCTTCGTCTCCTGGACCGAGGCTCTTCTGGGCTTCCGGGCTCAGCTTGTCGGTCCATTCAGCAAGTTCAGGGGCGGACTGAGCCCTGCTCTGGCCATGGCTCAGCCGGAAACAAGAGCTGCCAGGTTTGTGGCACCTGAGTACCCCCGCTGGTGAGGTCTTTGTCCTCTTGAGTCCCCGCTGGGCAGGTGTCCCACAGCAGGGGAGCCCCGAGCTCTTGCTGTCCCAAGCTCCCACCTGCATCCAATCTCAGCCCACAGTGGTGGACCACCCTGACCTTCCAGACTGCCCCCTCCCAAGGGGCAGACCCAGCATCCCGGAGTCCCCACCCCGAGCTGTGCTGAAGGGCAGCCGGGGCGGTAGGGCCAGGACCAGACCAGGCCTCTGATAAAGTCTCATTGAAATGAGACCTACGTGCCCGGGCCACCTTAAGGGGCCCTGACCAGGAAAATCAGGCCTGAAGCTGCCAATGCCAGATACTCAGGGTACCTGTGTCCTTACGTGGCTAGGCGTGAC